GCCGGTGTTTCGTTGCATGACAGTGTATGATGTATAGTTTATGAATTTATAGAGGAAAACGTACACACGCACCACACGTACACATATACGGGTACGCCTTTTGTACACCCATGCACACGCCCACATACGTGATTTACATTACGGGGAGGCAAGAACGCGAATACTGAAGTGTTAAAGGGAGCCCGCAGTTTAAGGTAGTCGCAGCGTCGAGTTGAGAATGTATAAGAGTAATTCAAAAGCTGATTTCAACTTGTGGACAAGATTTAAATTATTTTCGACACGATGTTCGATAAAATAATACGGAGAAAAGAATCTGGAGAAAGAAAAATTGGACGGACAGAAAACAATACAGTAAACCGAGTGCAAAAGATTAAAATATACGAATACGATTTTCTTTTTTTACGATTTCTTCGATCATACATTAAGATTAAATATATGATTGAGATTAAATAAGTAAAATAATGAGAACAGTTTTCAAGAAGAAAATTGTATTACAAATCGATATTCCTTGCCATCTAATCGGAATCACGAATATCGAATATTATAAGACAAGGAGTTGAAACAAAAGGGAGGAGAATCACAAAGAGAGCAAGAAAATAAGAAGAAAAGAAATTAGAATCGTGGTATTTGCACAAAATGTTTCCGAAATCCTTGGATATTTCATCATCGACGTCCTTGAAAGAAAAAGCGATTTCTGGAGGGCGGAAATCTGTTCTTAAATCGGCACGAAGAAAGGAGTTTTTTTTTTTTATTAAAAATCCAAGTTCGCCACGCGAGCATCTCATTGTAACGAGCTCATTGTTCCTCTTATCTCTTTTATCAGCCTGATTAATCCTTTCTCCCCGGGGCCTGTCGATGCGAAAAGAGATCAATTACCAATAGGACAGTACTCTCTTGCGGCCTCGAAATAACTCTCGTCTCGTTTTGTCTCTCCATCTTGTCCAAATTTCCCTTTTCTTGTCTCTTATTTATTTAACGGTAGAATTAACCACTTGTAAAAAGCGTCTCAAGTAAAAAAAACATTCTTATTTTTAAGGAATATAATTTTCTGTAAGAGCAAGTCGTCAGTTTTTATTAGTAAGAAGAATAAAAATATAAGAAGATATAAAAATTTATAGAAAAAGATGGACTTGCTTGTCTCAATTATATTCTTAAAATAAAGCAAATTATTCGAAACGAGTAGATCTTCGTCTTAAATTATATTCTCATCCGTCTTAAAATTCGTTGATTGTTAATATGAATTTATGAAAATTCGAAACGCGTCAATTTGACAGATTGGATTAATTCTATCGTTAATACCTTTCTTGTTCGCGTGAACAGCTCGTTTCTATCGATCGTATCTGCTCTCCTTGTGACCGCGTTTGTTCCGTGTCGCGGACAAATATCTGGGGAATTAAGTATTCATGGTACTCCCGCTTTGCAAGTATAATATCTTTTCCAGTTATATTTTATAATACATTTTATTCCTTTTTTTCGCGACACGATGGGCCAAATACCCAAATATTCCAGACACGAATCGGGTTGAATTTCATAATTCGAACAGATTTGAACATATTTCTTCTCGTCCAGAATTCTTCTTCTTCTTTTTAATTTATTTTTTATTTAAACGATAAACGAAAATCTCGTTGTTCCAATGTTCCAACAGGGGGGGAATGGAATTAGATTCACGGGCGTAGATCGCGATTCTAGATGCCGGTTAATGAGCTAATTAACACGGTCTTGCGCGGCGTTCAATTAAAATGATACAAAAGATAGCGTAAAAGCTTGGCTCAGTTTGATCGCTATTAAGTTGAAGCTAATTTGTGTAATGTATTATGCATCGAAACATATATATATATGTGTGTGTATATACACGTGGCGTAGAACCTCATCAACCATGGTATACCGTTACTTGGAACTTCTGCCTAATTAGTTCGGGCTAACGAGGATCGCATTTTTATACGGTTCCTGATCCTCTGGAACAAGGGGAAACTTTGCTCGTGATTAATTATTCCGATCTCGTCGGATCGTTCCGACGTTGTTACGCATCATTCGTTGAACGTTTTTCGATCAAAATTTGTCCGAGACGATTAACTCGATCGAGTTCATTTTTGATCGATAAAATTGAAAATAAATCACGAGATAAGAAATTTATCAAAGTAACTTTTTTTTCTTTTCTTTTTTAAGAACAGAATTCATACCCTGTTTCACGGTATCGAATCACGTTTTATTTGTTGCTAAAGGCTAACGAAGGTTTCACTCGTTCAACGAAATTTAATTTCAATTCTCGAAACTTTGGCTCGTATATTGAAATTCGTGTATTTTTCGATTCTAGCGTCGAAACGAGGATAAGGAACATGGTGAAAACGAAGGAAGTAAATCGAGTGATGCATGTAAAAAAAAAGAACCGATTCGTACATTGCCAGATTTCACTCGTTACGGATTCACGATCCGTGAAAGAGAAAGATCGTGGAACGAAAGGAAAAATCGTCCCCTTTAACACCTTCGATCGCATCTAATCAATACACTCCGAAAATTCCCATTTGCACGAAATATATTAGCTGGGAAAATAAAAGGAAAAATTCATCACGAACACTTCCAACCACGAGCATTTGCCTCGTGCATATTTTTCTGCGGAAATGACAAGGGATTTTCGTCAATTTTTAAACGTCGTCGAGGAACCGAACTTCGGGGAAAAGATACGCAGAAACGTAAGAAATGTAAGAATATTTTCCACGAAATTGGCGGGGCAGGATGGAAAGAGAGAAAAAGGGAGAGGGTGTAGCGGCAATCTCTTTTCTCATTTCCACGTTCGTCGCCTCTTCCACGTTTAGATTACACCCTTAGATTCTTGTCGCCCGTATTTCCGCAGAAAAATCGTTTTGCATGCCCTCCCCTCCATCACGCGAGACAACACAGAAGAGAACACGCACCGGCACGGAATCGTAATCACTGTTCTTTTTTTTCAGAACAGTTTCACTTGTTGTGCATCCGCATTTTGCTCCCTCGTTTCCTTTTTCTTTTCCTCCGTTTCTTCCACGTATTTTCCTTGCCTCTTCCATTTTTTTCTGCGCTTCTCCCTTTCTCTACGATTCCACCACCACCATTGTGTTACGTTTCTGCTCCATTTTACACGACACGAGAACCTAACCTCGGCGTTTCTACCCATGGCGTTTCCACGAAAAGCACGGAGGTACGACGCGACGCGACAAAGGTGTGCGAAAGTTACGTAACGTCCATAAGTCACCATGGTATATTTGGGACGAATGAATATCGTAATGGGTGCATTTAAGATATTGAACATTGTTCGTATCGACAGACGAATGGCGAATTATTACTAAATTTTGATCAAGTTTATTGCCAACAACAATATTCTCGACTTGAGAAATTTACAGAACGTATCGAAAATTTGAAAAATGATGGAGATTTGACATATTAAGAGAGAGAAGTTACATAAGAGACCGTATGGATCAACTGGAAACTAGATTAAATCTGCTCTATTATTACAGAGTTATCTAACAATCCCACAAACAATTCTCTGTACAAACCGCTTTATTAGTGTATCTTTAATCACAACAATAGAAAGTTGATCGCTCAAATAACTCTCTCGTTATCAGATTAAATCTCTTTAGCTTCGTTTAACTGAAAACGATAATAAATATTTCATTATCAAAGAAACATTTACAATGTTTCCAAAATATTTGCAATTCTATGTAACAAGTAATATAACAAGTTTGAAATCTAAATCTGATGTTATTAATTGACAATTTTTCCAGAATTTTTGGAAGCCGACCTAAAACAAGAGCGAGATAATTTAAAAATTATCGAGTGACCAATGACTTATGGACAGCGCTGTAACTCGTTGGCGAAGGAAAAAAAAAAAAAAAATGGGAGCTTAACGCCGTCACGTTTTACCAACGGTCCACCCTCTTGAATTCTAATGGATCAATTTCCACTTACCACGATTTATACAGTCCCGAAAGCGATTCGTGATACGGCCACCGCTCGAGGAGATTATGGCTACGTTTCTGTGCCCGGGATTAAAATGCTTCGAGGGTTCTATTATCCCCTCCCTTTCCTCCCCCTCCCCCTTTCCTCCTTTCTTTCTCCAGATTTTTGTCTTTCGAGAAGTCGATTTCGATCCTTTCGGGAACCCGTTTCGTTAATTACCCCTCGCTCCTTTATTATTCGAAGAACGTTGAAGAACGCTCGCCGTGTTTTTGTTTTATTCTTATTATTAACCGCGACAACCGCGCATGATTATAAGTATAAGTGGAAAGGTTTCGATGTTTGGAATCGTTGACAGATTGCGACCCAGTTGCGGATAGTTTATTTTGCTCGGAGAGTTTCACATAGATAGTTTCGATTATTATACGCAATATTCGATATTAACTTGGCTAATTGATAGTTCTGCTAATCGTTCGGTTCACGTAACTCGGGGCCAAATTTGAATTGGCAAAAGTACATTAAATCGAGCCGAATTCTGCTTAATTTAACATTTACGATGCCCGATATTACGTTTGTGAAGATTATAGGAGAAAAAGTTATATTTCATAGCGTCTTGATCGTGGCTAAAAATAATATAATATCTTCTTTTTTCAACGAAAGAATTGGAAGAGAAACAGACGTGTTAGACGGGTGTTTGATCATTCATCATGAAAGAATTTCTTACACTCGGGATGATTAACAATCTCGAAATCAACAATCGTATGAATCAAAGGGGATATCCAATATTTTCGAAGAGAAAAGGGTGAGAGGGGGGGAGGGGAGAGAGGAAATTTCGTGAATCCACAAAATTAAAATTGTAACGCGTATCTATTCTCTTCGGGCGAGATATAATTTATTTAAGTGCTCCCATTTTTGACGCCATCGCGAAATCGAACACGCCTCCGTGGTAACATTTTTGGAAAGGAAAAAGTTCGAAAGGACCCGCCCTGGGTGGAAGGTTCTAGCTAGCACTGGTCGCGGACCAGTCGCCAGGCAGCTTCCGGCCTGATGGAAAGTCTGTGAATTGTTCTCAGGGGTGGGTGTCTACATTTCGAGGGTGGAGGAGGGTTCGGTGGCCGAACGTGCTGGACTCAGGCCAGGAGACACCATCTTGGAGGTGAACGGCACACCCTTCCGAGCGGTGACCCACGAGGAGGCCCTCAAAGTGAGTTTCTACTTTCATTTTCCGAACCAGAAACATTTCCTCGCTTGCGTAACCATGTATCACGCGCAATGCGTTGTTGCGATTGCGATTTCCAATTCTATTTTCTTCTTTTCTTTTTTCCTTCTCTTTGAAAATATTTACGATGCGATTAGATCGCAGGGATTTGTTTCTGTTTCAATTTTATATATTTTCGCTTATTTTTACATTTTTAGTGGAATTATTATTGGAGTCAGTGGACATTTTGATGTTTGATCATTGAGAGGTCCTTTTGATTATTATTTTTAAGAATAAATATCGAACAGTTGTTTCGATAATTAAGCTTTTTCATAATTTTTGAAAGAGTAGTAATTAAATTTCCTATAAAGTGTAATTAAGTTTCTCTATTGTCAATTTTCTTCAAATTCAAAGTGAACCACTGTAACTCTTTTGAGAAAGGAAAATTCTTTTGGCCGTATAATCATTACAGTGAAATGGTCGCGTCAGTGAATCAATCGATCCTTCAATTTTGGAATGTTCCCTAAACACGTTTCGTTGGCCACGTGCCTGATCACGGTTAAAAATCAGTATTAAATCATGCTGGCCATTGGCGCGCAATCGATCGTGCTCGTTTTGTATTTATGAGTGACCTTAAGAGCCACCCCATCGATCGCAAATACCAGCCAGGCTCTCAGCTAGATTATATGGGGTGGGGCAGACGATTTCCTTCGATAAGTGTTATCTGACGAACGTTTCGAGCGCTTTTCTATTTTAAATCAATTCCATTCCCCTTTTCCTTCATCCGTCCGACATATCGGTGTTAAACTTTTGCAAATATCCTCTTAGAAATTATTATCGATCGTTTCGCGGATTTCTTCTACTCTTCGCTCTTTTTTTTTTTTTTACCTACTATAATTCACACACAAACAAAAATTTAATTAAAATCGCTAAGAGGATATTTAATGAAAGAAGCTTATATATTTTAATTTTAAACTGCCTAATTGTGTCTCAAGATGTTCAACTCTCATCCTCCCATTTTTTTTAATAAACTTTAATTTCAGTTCGCGATGAAAAAGAATCTGGAGGGAGGAACCGACGAGTAGCGAGATATTTATTTTTCGTTGGAATTGTTTGTAAAAAAAAAAAAAAAGAAAAGAAAAGAAAAAAAACAGTAATTCGAAGATTCGTAAATAGGGATACCGTGAAAGATGGCGAAGGAAAACTGTTTCTCGTTATTCTTTAAAAGTTCGTCTCGATTGATAAGGGAAAGTGTTTCCGGCGATTGTATATCTTTGATCTCCGTTCTCAATTATTCGGAGGGCTCTCTCGTCACTTGTCAAGCTTCGTTCTTCCATACTTTCTCATTCAATCAACTTTCTCTCGTTTAATTCGCATAATTTCGAGCTTGATTCGAATCGAAAGAGATCTTTCTTCAAAATTATCCCCTCGAAGATGAACTGGACAACTGGATTTTGAAGAGAGGGGCAAAAATTTCTCTCGCGTTATTTAATTTAACTTGGAGGCGAGATTACGGGGGCTTGGATCGCGCTGGGTTATATAGCAAAACTTTCAACAATATTACAAAGTGTTTTATAAAAGGGGTTAACCTGCCTCGAGCGTTGCCTCGAAATATCCTTTGAACGATTTATGTCGTAATTTTCGAGAAACTCTTATAATAATAATAATAGTAATGATAAAAGAAAGAATAAAACGTTTCGTTGATAAAAGTTTTCCGTGGTACAAACTCGATCGTGATGAAGGAAAGGATTATGAGGAAAGAAAATACGCGGAAGAAAATTTGTAGAAGATATCGTTCCCTTGCGAAACAATGACGTCATTCTATATCATCTTGATACTTATTGGCATCGGATTCCTGAGAAATAACAATGGAGCGGAAATAACAAGAGCCTTAAATTCTTAGAGAAGAAAATATCTTTTACGCGCAGAAAATTTGCGTGGACGCAATCGTGTCTTTGTGAGAAAGAAGACACCAGAGAAGACCTCGAAAAGGAGAGAAATTCGAAAGAAATACCTGCCATCTTTTATGAGGAGAAAAAATAGATTTGCCATTTATTAATTTAACGAGTAATAAATTAAAAATATTCGTATGCCAAACCATCACCGTTTCCTGTGAAGCTGAAGCGAACTGGAAATCGCGGACTAAATCGCGAGATAATCGCGAAGTAGAACGTTCCCTGACGTTCCCTCGAAAAAAAGAAGAAAAAAAGAAAAGGAAGAAGAGAGGGTTCGATCGATGGCTTTGTTGGATGGACCACGAGGTCTTTCTGGCCAGATCGTCGAGACCTGAAAATTCCGCGGCATGAAAAAATGGCGGAAAGGAGGGGGTGAGAGGGGATGGATGATGACTATCGACTGGCCGGATGGAAAGAAGCGTCGCTCGGAGCCACGCCACGAGTAATCTCTGGTGTAAACGTTTCTGATGGGTATCTCTGGTGGCTCGTCATACTCTCGTAGTGGCTCGGGAGTTTCTAGACAAAAGCACGTCGACAATGGGCCATCAGGGTATCAGACTGGTTCGGTGAAGAGGCACGTAGCTCGGTGAAAAACCGCCTCGAAATTTTCGAATACACGGCCCAGGTGTCCTTCTTCCTCTCTTCCTTCTCTTCCTTTTTTTTATTCTTCTTCTTCTTCTTTTTCTTCACTATCGATGCTTTAGACGACGCTCTCTCGACACTTGGAAACAATAAAAATAATATATTCGACCCTGTTTCAGGGTTACAGGCATCTTCATGATGGAGAGGTTGCTGAGCTAGAAGTGGAGGATTATGCATTCAGATTACTTTGTATATAACACGGTTGTTCGATATTTCATCGATAGGAATTTAACGAGGCGTCGTGGTATTTCTTTCTTTTTTTTTTATTTCGCTGCCAAGCTTTTCGGTCCCATTTCTTTGTTCTCGTTATGGAATTGTGTTTATTCTTATTCATCGTAATATCTCCACTTTTTTCCTCTGTTTTTATAATGTTCGATATTCGATATTGAACTTCGATATTGAAGTCAAGTTAGGTTAATTGGCGTGCAATATTATCCGAATTTATCGTAGAATTTATTCGAATTAAAGTTAGAATTTACTTCATCCAATAACTAACAATATCATAGTCAGTTTTAAAATCCTGTTTTAAAATCTCGAATCATCTCATCCCTGAAAGTCTGTGTGTCGATTCACTTCGGATTGCAGAGAGATATCGGTGTCTCTCCCTCTGTTAAGAAGTTATTGTACATTTCTGAAAAGTTAGAGAAATTCAATCTCTCCCGAGAGATGAGACTCGGTGATTCTGCTTACACGTTCTTTCCGCCCTTGGAAACACTTCGTGTTTCTATCGAATCGTGTGGCGTACATACACAAAGAAAAGAAGAAATCGAGTAGAATAAACACGATTTCGCGCGACTCAGAGGGATAAATCCGCGGTTGAAGAAAAATCTCAAGGGTTTCTCCATTGCAATTTAGTTAGAATCGTTATCTCTCTCCCCCTCCTCTCTCTCTCTCGAATTAAACTTGCTCCAATCTATGAAAGATGCTGTGCAAGTGTTTGAATGGTCCGTTCGTTCCAAATAACGGCAAGGTTGTCGGTTGCATTCTGTGGAAAAAAAAGCTCTAGGAGGAAGGAGGAAGAAATAAATCGAAGGGGATTTGTTAATTAATGGTGGCGCAACCTTGACCCAGATGACTATTACCAGGAAATTGGAGGAGCCGCGATTCCTGAATGATCACGATAGGTCAAATGGTTGACCCAGTTCGACAATCCACGGATTAAGTTTCCGGTGTGCCCGTACCGACTCGTACTGGATAACACTGCTGTCGCCTGTAATCAAAACGAAATTTTCTTGATCCAACCAGTTCTCCACCCATCCAACTCCAATTTCCGATTGGACTCGTACTTCTTATTACTTAGACGTTGCTTTGCGCGAGGATGTACCATCTTTGTAATTTAAACAGAGCTTGTTTCAAGTTTTCTCGTTTGCGCTCGCCACGTTCCCGCATTTTTATACTTGTAAATCTAGAATCTTGTCATTAGAAAGATTACTCTGGAATCGAAGGATGTTAAGAAGAAGAATTAAACAAATAATCATTTAATTTACAAGATGCTGAAAATATTAATTACTATTTCAACAAATAAGAAAAATCAAAATTGAAGAATGAAAGAAACTGTGTCTGTAGAAATGGTTAAGACTCAAGCGTGATATAACAAATATTTAATCAATATGGTATTCAAAGCAAATCCCCACCGGAAAAAAATTCAACTCTAGTTTCGAAGAGATTTTTCGACCTCGTCACCCACCCCTAACATCGATCAGGCCAGTTTGATAAATATCTTTCTAAAAAAGGATCTCGATGGAAGTCGACGATGTCAACAGCGTTCCAGGATTGTTTGCTATTTCGAAAGGTTGTCTCTGGAGGACCGACATCCGGCTCCTCGTCTGCTTCTCGTCTGACATCGATCGGGCATAAACGCTTGAACGAGCTAGGGATTAAATTGCACGGTTGTCGTAAAGCGTAACGGTGGCCGTGGCTCGTTATTTCGTAATGGGTTGTAAGGTTGTAAGGAGACGCGAGGAGGGGACACTGGGCGAAAAGTTTGGCCGATTTATGGGACGCGTTTTTCCATCGAGTTCATTAAGGGAGGCGGAAAATGTAGGATCTCCCAGTTCCCAAGTCGAGGACGTAATAGACTTTTTGGTGGAATTGCCATGCCGTTGAAACGCTAATTATGTTCAGACACGATGTTTGAGATTTTGTCGGCAATTTCTTCTGGCACGAGAAATATACGAGTTCTTTGATGAAAGTGGATTCGAGAAAATATTTAACGTATTCATTTTTCATCGTGTTCCGAGATGCTTAATAAGAAGTTTCCGTTTTAGTTTAGTTTCCATTTTTCAGACGAGTTTGAAAAATGTTGATGAACAGAAAAGATTGAAGGTTTTGTATTTATTACTCTGGCGAAAAGTTTTTCTGGCGTTTAATAATTAAAAAAGAGCAACGATGACAAAGGAGCATGTGATC